TCATTTTGTGGTCATTACTGAAGTCATTCATGGCCAAACACATCTAGGAATCACTGATATTTCCAGTAATGATATAGGGGAGGAAAATCTTGTCACAGACTGAAGATGATTCTATTTAAAGCCAGCAGCCTCATCTCATATAGCTCCTACTATCAAAAGTAAGGTGTTTACATTTATCGTTACTAAAACAACTATTGCCTAACATAAACCTTACAAAATAAATATTGCCTAATCAAACATATATATTTACATATAAATATATATAATAAAATAAATATCGCCTAATCATAAATCTTAGAAAATCTGAGTTTTTAAAGTAAAAACATCTGAAGTACCTGATTTTATTGACTGATTGATATTATGATATGTGTTTATTTTGATATTCAATTTGAACTACTGAAGGTTCTGTCCTAGGAAAAAATTAACCAAAATTACTTATTTCTTTTTTTTTTTTTGGTTGTAACATTGCTTTTTTTTTTTCTTTTAAGTTCTTTTCCTTTTTTGTATTATGTAATGTTAGTCACCATACATTACATCATTAGTTTTCGATGTAGTGTTCCATGATTCATTGTTTGTGAATAACACCCAGTTATTACCTATTTCTTAGAAATTTCTTAGAAATATTAGATAAATGAAAGTCAGAAATAAGGATGACATCTGAGCTAAGGTTTCTTTGTAAAACATCTGATGCTCCAATGCAAAACAGGCTTTGCTGATGACATTGGTTGTGTTTATTTTAACTAAATTAGCAAATACTTGTTAAGCATGTGTAATGTGCCAAAATACTATGTTGGGCTCTAGAAAAACATATAAAAGGTAGACTGTTTGCCCTCAGGGAGTTTTATTATAAATTGAATTAAGGAATTAAAAAAAATTAAGTCACAAACCAGTGGGGTGGGCTGGAGTCAAGGCTGGGTACCATAATTAATTGCAATTTATTTCTTTCAGTGGAATCTGAAGCTACTCCCTTCCTGGAGGCACTTGCAAGGTTAGCATTGTTTTTCACAGAGCATCATAAATCTTCAGTGACCAGCCTTTGGCACATAGAAGATTTAGTGATACTGAAGATCAGATTCTCCTGATAAAGAATGTTTTCCTCCTCTTTCTTCTTCATGCTGAAATTGCAAACACCTGACTTGAACAGGATTCCAAGTCTGGCCTTTTAGTCTTAGTCTCTACTCCATGTGGTCTGGGTCATGCCTGTCTATCTCACTCTGGAACTCTAGCTCTTTACAGGTCCTGGTCCCAGTACATGCTTCCAGCCAAAGAACTGCTCTGCAAGATTTTAGAAGCTCAAAAACTAGTAGCCAAAGTTCTGGAAAAACTTGAACTACAGAAATTTCACACTGGCACTGAGCTTCTTCAAAATCCCGCAGTGAAAAACAAAACTATCCAAAAAAAATGTAGTAACTCTCAAGCTGGGCCCACATGAAAGGGTAAAATAGTGCATGTAGGCCTACTTCCAAATACTCCAGCCAGGGAAGAAGGCTCTTCTGACAAGCAGAGACAATTTGAGGCACAAAACAATCTGTATTTCAGTCCACAAATGTTTCCAGACTTTCTGCTGGGAATGGACAAAAGTAAATGATATTCAGCCCCTTTCCTGAAGAATACAGTCTAGTGAAAAACCATATAAGCACCATGGCCCTACTTGATGTTGCCAGAATAAAAATAAAGAGTTAAGGAAACGGTGTTTGATTTAGGGGGTGAAGAGACAGAAAGAGAGAGAGAAACAACTCCAAATTAGAGTCCACCACCCATTGGAAAATTCTTGTTCAGAGGTTTTGGTAGGGAGCTGGTGACTGAAAACAGAAGTCCTCTTTCCTCTGAAGCCCTTTCATGTGTGATTTCAGATGCTAAACACCAATGCCTATTCCATCAAGGAACAGGAGAAATAGCTTTTTGTCTAAAAGGAACACACACAGGCTTCTGTAGGGACAACAACAACAGGATTTTAGAGCCGCCCCACTATATAAGAAGACATATAATATCAACTACTCTTTGGGGCGTGAGGAGGAGGAGAGGTGCTCTCGTGCCAGGCATGGTGCTGGTGGCTTAGCTACCATATTGAATTCATTGCTTACACCAGTCCTGTGAGGCTGGTCCCACTTTCATTTTACAGTTGAGGAAAAGAGGTTCCATGAGGAGGAATGGCTTGTTCAAGGTCTCAGGGCTAGAAGAAGCAGGGCTGGGCTACAAGGCCAAAGGTCAATGTCGTTCCCAAATCCACACTCTTTCTGGAGGACCAAAGTGAACACAACTCAAAAATGACAAGTTCTACTTTGCATTTTGTGCTGACCCCTGAAAAATCAACCAAAGAAGACAGGAAAGGTCGAGACAGAACTGACTCAACACATTTGGGGCCATGTTCTCTTTACTCTGCTCTCCCTCAAAGCTCATGTGTCTTTACATCTTGTCCCGGAAAGTCTGGAAACCTCAGATGGTCTCCTCAGACCGAGGGCCACTCCAGCTGCACTCTGAATCCTGAAGGGGATTCCAGAAGGAAGATGGAAGCCGAGTAATGGAAAATGTAATGGGGTCATGCCCCTGTGTTCAGTGGGGGGCAAGGAATCCATCACACAATGAGATTCACATTCTAGAAGTTTCAGTCTGGTGGCCGTGAGGAGGACGGAGCTGCTCAGAGGATATTAAGGCTCACACTCTGGGAGACTGTTTAGAAATCAGATGCCGTAACAGAAGTAAGAGGGAACAAGGTGCCCAACCATACAGGGGCAGCAATCTCTGGGGGTGGGGAACAGACAGAGAAATGAGAGATGTTGTAGATACAGCATCAGTAAGACCTGCTGACCAGCAGCTGTAGGAGAGAGTGAGGGAGAGGAAGGAATGTGGGGCGAGGCCCAGTTTTCTGACGGGGTGACTGGGTTGGTGGTGACACCATTCTTAGAGATGAGGGAGAGAGAAAGAAGAGTTGGTTTTAGGGGAAGGAGGGTAACTTCAGATTTGAAGTAGTCATGAGCATACCCAAATGGAAATGTTCCACAGGCAGCTAGATTGACAGGTTTGCTCATTATTTCTACAAATATTTACTGACTCCCTACCATGCACCAGATGTTGAGCTTGGCATTAGGTGTGGAGTGGCGACCAAAACCCAAAACAGACATGTTCTCTGCCCTCATGAAGCTTACAGGCAATAAACGAACACATAACAGAATCACGATGACCAACTGCAGTAAGTGTTATGCAGAAAAGAATAAGGTGCTATGAGAAGAACCAGTCCGGGTGTGTGAGACTTGATGGGGACACCAAGGCTGAGTAGGATGAGAAGACTCTGGAGCTCAGAGGAGGCACGGCCTGGCTGGAGATGGAGGGGGGTCCACTGGGGGTCATGTGCACATTGGCGGGAGGTGAGCCAGATACTATTGTACAGGCTCTTGGGGCGGGGGCCGAAGAGCTAGATGTCCCGCAGGCCGAGGCTGCTGCTCATTCACTCAGCGCTAAGGCCACACACTCACAGGGAGCACTCTGGGTGTCTCGCACTGAGGTTACAACCTGCCCAGGGACGATGGGCATTTTGCCACCTCTCCAATGAGGGCATGCTGGGCACGTGAAAATCCATACAGGGTACCCACTGATTCGGTCTAGATTGCGGGAGGCCAGATGAAGCTAACTCCAGGCGGGACTGAAATCTTCAGGCTAACTTGGGATTCTCAAACACAAAACAAGAACAAAACCTCAGCAACTTTTGTCTAACTCATGCTCTGTTCTCTTCCTGGAAATGAAAGCCAGGAGACATGGTTTTAGAAGGGAGCCCAGTTAAGCCCCAGATCATCCCTGCAGCAGCTAAGCAGCCAGTGAGCATCCCAAAACTGCTTGTAACTGTTTAACAGAGAAGACCGCATTGAGCCCAAACTGGGAGTTGTTCGCCTACGTGCAGATAGTGTCTACAACGACAGAAACAATAGCAAACGTTTACTGAGCACTTACTATGTGCTGGCACTGTTCAAGTCACTCAATCTTCCGATGGCCCTATGCAGGATTTACTTTCAGTAGCCCTATTGTGCAGATGAAGAAAGTGAGGCATGAAGAGGTTAAGGCGCTTTCCCAAGGCCCTCACCCTCCTCTGACGTTTAATTGGAAGAGCCGGGATTTAAAGTCAGAAGTCTGGATCCCAGAACCCACTCTCTTCACTAGTCTTTTGATAAATGGGTCACTGCTATAATAGTTGGAGTAAAAGGCCTGTGTGGAGGTGGGGCCTGATTTGTGAGGCGCCATGGGGATATGGACTCTGCGGGTCGTTCCTAGGGGAAGAGGGATGCTCCCAGGCAGTCTGGTTTCTGACAGCCTGCCTCTGAGAGGGTGAAACCATCCTCAGAGAGTCCTGTAGTTTTCCAGATAGAAGGGGACCTGGGAACTGCTTAGTTGAGCTGCTGGTTTACAGATGGGGAAACTGAGGCACGGGGAAGCGGAGGGACTGTGCTAGGGAGGGACAGAAGCTGGGTCAGAGGGAGTGTCCTCTCCCAGGAAGCCTTCCCTTCCTCCTTTTCCCTTGAGGATTCTGCTTGAGCAAGCCCGTCTCCTGCACACCTTTGGGGCCCACTTCGGCTGAGCAGGTGTTTATGGTTCCCCGTGGGAGTCCCCAGGGCAGCCAGGAGGAAATGAAGCCATCTCCCACCCAAGGCACTAGAGTCTCCCAAAGCTGTCTTCACAAGGATGCCACCCTGCACAGCAGAGCCCCTCACCCCTTTGGAATCTGCAGACCCACCTTCCTGACCCAGGCCGTTTTTATCCTGAACTGGAGCGACCCTAGGCAAACCCACTTCAAAGACCCCACCTGGGTCTCAGACACCCCCCTTGGGACAGAAGGTTCCCACCTGGACCCCTCCAGTGAGTTTCTGGGAACTGTGCAGTTCTGACCGCCAGCATCGCTCCCCTCCTGCACCCCTGTGCCTCCCTGGAGGAAGTATCCACTCACCGCGAGGCGGTGGTGGCCAGAGGGGAGGCTCCTCTCTTTGGCCATCCAGAGCCAAAGCAAGTCTTACCTTTCCACCTGGAGGTTGACTTTGGAAGGCTCCACGTTGGGATTTTCCCATTCCATTTGAGGGCAGTGCATGAAATAGCACAGGGTGTACAGGGCCTCCGGCTCCCAGTAGAGCGCCCCCTGCTTCTGGTGCAGGGGGGTGCCGTTGCCGTGGTGCTTGGCATTGAGGGGCTGCAGGTGATGCATTGCTCGGGACACCAGGTCACCTGTGGACAGAAGTAAGATTTCAGATCCTTCAGGCGGCCATGACTTGCAGAGATGTGCTGAAGACCTCTGCAGAGATTCCGATCCTGGGACCCCCTCATTCAACAGCAGCGGTCCTCTGGGACCTCTGGGTCCCACAGTGAGCAGAGAGGAAAGCATCTGTTCAGTCACCATATGACTGCCACTGCCTACCAGGTTTGAGCTGCGACTTCAAGCACAGAGGGCGGCCAAGATAATCACAGTCCTGCCCTTCTGGAACCCACGGCTTCTAACAAGGCGCAGGGAGCCCTCTGTGCGCATCACCTTGGGACACACCCTTGGTCACGTCTTTTGCTGTAGCCAGTACTGCCTTACCTGCAGTCACAAGTATAGTCAAGGACTATACTGCCTCTTGCCTCTGAGCCTGTGCATAGGCTATTCCCTTTATCCAGAACATTCTCTCTCTCCTCTTCTCCAGGCTAACTCCTACTGATCATCCAGGTATCAGCTGGTATATTAATTTCTCCAGGAAGTCCTCCTGGAATCTCCCCCACTCCCTTGTGTGTGTGTCACACTGCACTTTCTTATCACAGCAGGTAGAGCGCTGGGTTAAAGCTGACATTTCCTTGTGGGTCCTTCCCCATGGCAGCACCTCAGTCTTAAATGACATTTATGCACCAGCACAGTTTTAAGCACCCCAAATCATCATCCCAAAGCAGATACCCTTATAAACCCATTTTATGGATGAGGAAAGAGGTCAAATAACTTCTCAAGGTCAACCAGCAGCCGTAAGCAGCAGAGCCAGAATTTGAACCCAGGCAGTCTGGCTCCAGAATCCCTGCACTGAACCATTCTCCCTGAGGAAAGGGGCTCTGTCTTACTCTTCTCTGCACTAGCAAATCTGGGATACACTCTAGTCTTTCTCCTGCTTTCTCCTAAGGAAACCAGCCTTCTCTTCATCAAACCAAATGCATGCTCCCCAGTTGGCCGCACAGGGAGGACCTTCCTGTTGGGAGGCTGGCTGGGCCTGGAAGCCCTGACTTTTCTAGGCTAAGATGGCATTTCCCGAACTTAGGTTGTTTGTACACTAGCTTCATGAGTGCAGCTGTATCCAAGTCCTATCTGTGCCACGGTTTACTTAACTTTCAATGGATTCATTTAGGGATGCCTGGGTGGCTCAGTCGGTTAAGCGTCTGCTTCAGCTCAGGTCATGATCCCAGGGTCCTGGGATCGAGCCCCACATCGGGCTCCTTGCTCAGTGGGGAGCCTGCTTCTCCTTCTGCCTGCAGCTTCCCCTGCTCATGCTCTCTCTCTCCCTTTCTCTCTCTGACAAGTAAATAAATAAAGTCTTTAAAAAAATAAATGGATTCATTTGATTTTTTTTAAAATACGGATTATCTAAAAAGGAAATGTTCTGTCACTTATCATAAACAGAAGATCAATATCAGTTGCCATAAACAGAAGATCACTATAAAAGTTAATTTGATGAAAACAAAACAGTATAATTAATTTATAGCTGAATTCTGGTCCTGGTTTTTTGTTGTTGTTCTAAATAATAAGTGTTAGAAAAGTGTTAGGGGCTCATACCAAATGGAGCCTTTCTTCTTGAAGCAATCAGAATTAAAATAGAATTTAAAAGGATCACTCCATGACCGATGTTACTGAATGCGCTGCCCTGTTCCACTCATCCAGTGGAATGTGTTGCACACTCTGGGAAACGCTCATCTGAGATACTTGTGATGAATAATTTTATGTATCAACTGGGTGAGGCTATGGTGCCCAGTTGTTGGGTTAAACACTAGTTTATAGGTTGCTGGGAAGGTATTTTTCGCATTAACTTATAACATTTAAATCAGTAGATTTTGGGAAAAGCAGATTATCTTCCAAAATGTGGGTGGGCCTCATCCAATCAGCTGAAGGCCTAAGGAGAAAAGACCTTGAAGAAGACAGAATCCTGCCTTCAGCTCAAGACTGAAACATCAACTGGAATTTACTGCTCCCCCTTCACCCCACCCCCGCCTCACCCAGGCAGCCCCTGGTAGGGGAAGGAGACTGTCTCCTCCATTCCCAATCCTTCACTGCCCAGTTGAAACCAGGCCTGCAGAGCCCACCACTCCTCTGCCATCCACCTGTACCCTTTTAACAGGACACTTTGACCTCAAATCCAAACCCAAGAAAGTGAGGCTCAGTGAGAGGCACAAGTTTCTCCTCTGAAGGCCCAAAGTCCAGTTTCTAGTCTGAGGGTGGGGCCATTTCCTTAAAAGAAGATTGACAAGAGGGTCATTCGCCTCCCTCTCCCCTTAGGGGAGTCAACTATGGAGATGTGGTCTCAGCCAAGGGCAGAAATGGCAAATATTCCCCTTTCTAGTCCATGTCCACGGCAGATATGGTTAATCAATCACAGAGCTCTTATGCACTGAGCGTAGATGTTGCCTTTAAATCCTTCTTGAGACAAGATTCCAAGTGGGCACTATTTCTGATATAGGAGTTTGTAGAGGAAAGGAAACTTCCATGTTGTCAGAGTCCTAAGGCCTTAACAGGACAACCAAACCAGAGTATAATCCACCAAGCCTAATACCTGGACAGCAAGCAGATGCAGGGGTTGAACAGAGAGCAGGTGGGGTGGCCATGCTGCACCCCTCTGCATCTTACCATGCCTTGCTCAGAGCCTGACCCTCCTCTCTCCATTCCCCACAGTGGGAACATATGCCCAAGAAACTCAAAAAAACAATCAGAGAAGGAAATTCTCTCTTAGAGGTAGGTGGACCAGGGAAGACCCCCCGGGGGACCTGCAGATGGAAAATATGGGGAACCAGTGCTCACAGTCAGGAGAAGGAATTCAAATGCCAGCTGTGCTGCTCATCAGTGCACAGACCAGCAAGTCACTCAGCCTCGCAGGCGAGGAAATGAGCCCCCCGTCGGGTGGGTGTGAGGGTTCAGGGCAGAGTGAGGAAGCGCCTGGCACGCTGTGGGCACGACATTAGCCACTCTCTTAGGCTCACGGCCCGCCTGCTCGTCCTTCTCTCTGGATGATGAGACCTGGAGGTTGGGTGCCTGGGACGTGCGGGGACAGTCCTGCCAGCATCCTGACCCAGCGCCAGATTTGCTGTTTCATGCCGGCGTTGACATTTTTAGGAATCTATGCTACAAAGCTGTGCACTCTGGATGTCTGTTCGGGGGTGCACTTAGGTCCTTAGTCGCTTTTTCTTCCCTGTTCTCTCTACATCTTTTAGAAATGCTGCTCCTTGGGAGGGAGGATAAAAGGAAGCCCGGTACCTGCCTCGGGCCCGTCCTATCAGTCAGTCCCATAAGGGGCGGCTCCTGCCACTGGTAAAGGGAGGCTGGCCAGCGAATGCAGAGAAGGGGCCTGGAAGAGAACAAGATGGCAGGTCTGGGCTGGGACTGGGCACAATGACGGTGTTGTGAATTTTCTGATGAGAATGACATGAAGTAGAGGGAGGTGACAGCAGAAGCGGAAACCACAATATACAGAGAACCTGCCACGTCTCGGGCCATTTATACACCTTCCGGTTTAATCATCTAAGAGCCATAGAGGACATAAACCCACTTCAGCAATGGGAAAATCAAGGCAAGGGGCAACTGGCCCAGGTGTCACACAGGAAGGAGCAGGTTGCAACTCCAATGAGGCTGCCAGGGCTCACGTTCTTAGTCAGTACACCCCAGTTCCTTCTAGAATCTACCTCAGGGTGTGGCCTTTGAAAAACTCTGGTGAAGATTTGAGGCCTAAATCCCCAGTCTCCCCAAATATATGCCGTTGTGGATTCCATGGTGAGGGGCTCAGGAGATGGGTCCACCTCTGCTGACAGAGGGGAGCTTCCAGCTGAGGGGGCTCAGAGTCTGACCTGTCTCCAGGAGGGGGTGGTGGCTGCTGGGTCCACCTGCATGGACGGCCATGCACGCTCTTAGGTGATACTTGCCCTAAGGGAAGGGGCCTAGAGGGGCATGCGAGTAACCAGCGATGACGTAGGCAGGAAGCTGGTTCTGGAACCAACAGAAGCCTGGTCTCTCAGATCAGAACTTTGGCGCGGGCGCTGGCAGAGCTGAGAGAGCTTTTCCGGGAAAGCTGTGAACATGTGTAGCAGCCCAGCAGCTGGGCTTTGGGGCCATGGGATGAGGCGACGGTGGGCAAGCGCAGACACCCATTTAAATAGCGCTCCTGTGTGCAGGACACTTCTGAGAGCTTCCTATATCTCATAGCCCTTTGGTGCCACGCAACCCAGTGACATAGGTCCAGGTGGCATGTCCATTTTACAAATGAGGAAACTGAGATCCAGGGAAATAATTTGGCTTCAAACTACTGCCATTTGGATCTCTTAGCTACTGTACCACGCTGCCCCCAGGAGAGGGCAGGAGAGAAGGGGGTCTTCATTCCTTGGTGGCAGCAAGAGCCCACCAGGAGCTTCAGAGATCATGGCTGGCTTGGCCACACGCAGAGTCTGGGCAGAAAAGCTCAGCCCATCTGTAACTGGTACCTGTCAGGAACCACATCCTCGGTGGGCACAGGGGTGGGGACAAGCCGCAGAGGCTGTGGCAGACAGGGCCAAAGCTCTGGAAGGAACTGCAGACCTCCCAGTTCTGCCCCTGGCTGTGATGTCAGGGTCCTCAAAGGTGTCACCAGCCACAGGCAGGGGCAAGGTGTGAGGATCACGGGAGGCCAAGACCACAGGCTGAGCCCCAGCAGGGTAGGACGAACGGATGGCTACACGTGAGATGCCACCTGGGGACTCTCAAAAACTGCCTGGTGACTCTCAAAAACTGTCTGGTGAACTTTCCAGAGGTGCTGGGTTTCCGGTGAGTTTGCATATAGGGGGCAGGGGCTGAGGGGGCCTCCCTCACCCCCAGGGACGTGCAGGGGGAAGGACTTGGACTTGCCAGTAACGGACTCAGCACAGCACTCACGGTCTTCTAGGAGGAAAGCTGAGTTGCAAACATCAGGGGGGCATGGGGGGCGTGGACAGTGAGGGGAGAAAGGCTCCCATCAGGAAAGTCTGGGAAGCAATTC